ACGTGTGCTCTTCCGATCTGCAGTTAAAATGTCACTGTTAACTGCAGTGACTTGAGTTCACTTTAAATCAAAGTGAAATCTCACTGCAAAGAAGGTAGTCGCATTTTGATTATTCGCTACAGTGAAATCTCACTGCAACGAATTTAGAATGAAGATATCTAGATCGAATCGATTGAGAAAACGTGAAAAAAGAAACTTGCCTTCCATGTACCCAAGCCAAGAATCGGTACTTCGTTGCCATTGTAAAATTTCATTTTCGGTGTATTCACGACCATTTTATCGATGTCAATATTTACAGAAAAATATGCGATATGAAATATTGCTATACCAAAGAACCGTCGATTCAACCAGTGATGCAATTTTTCGTCTCTTTTTATTCTTGTAATCTACTGCTTGAATAGAAGGAGACTAAAAGGTGTTTACATAAGAACCTGTGAGGAGGTTCTTTTATAGTTATAGTCAACGTTATCGCAATAATTTTATGTATCGCCAGTATTTTATCTGACATCTCACAATTTGCACGAGCGAGTCGCCGTATCGGAATCAGTAGTAATAGCACCGACAGAGTAGAAATTTACTACTTTGACAATCGTACACGGCTTGTCCATTCAAAATAAAAAGTTATGAAAAAGAAATTTAAACGATGTGATGGTCGTAGTTTGTAGCCTGCGATGCAATTAACCTTTAACAAACACATTGAGAACATGTTTAACCCGAAGGTCTAAGACGTAGTTATAGCAGTGATACATTAAAACAAATGGTTTCTTAAAATTTTCATATAAAAAGATTCATTTCATGGATTAGCAGTAATTAATGACTTGCTTTTTATGTGATATTTTTCAGAGTGTAAAAATTTCTTTATTTCAATTATTATACATATACGTGCACAGTTTTTAACATAAAAGTGGCTATAACTTCAAAAAATTGTAATTTATTTTTAGTCATAATTTGTTACGATTATTATTATGATTTTTTTAACGTAAAAGTGATTATAACTCAAAAAATTTATTTCTTATGTTTATGTAATTTTTTTTCTTTTTTTGGGAGGTTTCAAATTACTCCAAGAAGTAGTTAGGGCGAGTTTCTAGACACTCTGTATATACTTTATAGCTTGATATGTATCTATACTTATAGATTCAGTGTTCATAAAAACGATATAACAAGAAAATATTGAAAGAAAAATAACATATATACGCACGAACTAATAATAATTCAAGAATATGTTTTATTTCAAAAAGTTTAAATAGAAGACACACACAGAAATATATCAAAACCTCACTTATTCACTCCAATTATTTAGAATGGAATATTGAACGGATAATAGGAACTGGCTCTCGCCCTGAAAATAAAAAATAAAATAGATTATTAAATATATACTCTCTTAAATCTCATTAAATGGTTTTATCACTAATATATTAGAGTAATTGCAATTGTCGCTTTAATTTGAGTGAATGCAGACACTCATAAAAGGATCGACTGATAAAATAATTCATTAGGGTAAAATTTTCCAAAAATTTTCAAAAATGTAGAGCTATATAATTAATTCACTCTTGTGAATATTAATATCCGCACTCGAAAAGTGCACACTTTATTTAAAAGTGCGATTTTACACCAATTATAGAGTACAATTTCACTTTTTGTTACATTTAAAAATGAGCTCTTTTGTCTCATTTTTCACTCTTCAAATTTTAGAGAGCACCACAAAACTTTTATTTATATGTTGTCACAAAACTTATATTTATATATTATATGTTCTCTTTTTATAATTGGTATAAAATATCGTCTTTATAAATGCGGTAGTAGAAAACTATTAATAAGTCCGTACTGATCTATTGCACAAAATCTCTTGTTGCGATCAAAGCTGTCAATATAAGCAATATCTTCGGATGAAAGTTTAAAATCAAATACATCCATATTCTGAGCCATTCGTGATTTGTTAGCTGATTTAGGTATCACTATATGGCCACGATCCATCTGTGTTGATAATTATTGCAATTTCGTGTTAATATATATATTACTAAATATATTAATTGATGTTCTAGATTACGGATTTTTAAATATAATTCAAAAACTTGAAATTATATGGACACATTTAATTTATTGGACACACGTGAAGAAATTAATATTTTGATAACACACTTGATAACGAATAAATATTTGTGCTGGAGTCTTATTATACTTTTGTCCAAGCTCGACTAATTTCTTATCTTCGAACAATTTTGGTTCATCTGGTCTGCCCCATGGTCTTGCCGGTGATCCGAGTGGAGCGAACGCTGTAATAAGAATGCCCTTTTGTTTGCAAAAATCTGACAGCTTTTTTTGTGTTAAGTATGGATGGCATTCGATCTAAAATCATATAAAAATGATATAGTCAAAAAAGATTCTTTTTTTTACATTTCTTTATATATATATACAGATCCTGTCTCAATCACCTCAAGAAGTAATGTAGATTTTCGAACACTTTGTACATATTTTTTGCGTAAAATGTATGAATAATAAACTGTTGATAAACATTAAAGAAAGAATTTTTTAATATTTTCTCAAACTTCTAATCGTCTAAATAATATTTTATTTCAAACTAATTAGCAAATTAATATTATCGCAACTATGCAGAACCAAAATGTATATCACTACTAGCAATATACATATATATCTTTCAAATAAATGCTATTTTTTACTTGCCTGATTTGTAACAGGTTTAACTGTTGCATTCTCGAGTAATCTGGTAATTTGCTCGGAATTAAAATTACTAACACCGATGTTTTTTGTCAGGCTTTTAGACAATACATTTTCCATAGCCTTCCAAGTATCGACGTAATCTACATCGCTTAAAACGCAAGTACCATCAGAGTGCAAAGGCAAAAGTTCTTCACCTTCCTTATATCCTATGGGCCAATGCATTAAATAGAGATCTATGTAATCAAGACCAAAATCAGTTAACGTTTGTTTGATAGATGGTTCAACTAAATCGGGCTTATGGAAGGTATTCCATAGCTTGCTGGTAATAAATAGATCTTCTCTCTTCACGACACCCTCAGTTATTTTCGCTCGGATAGCATGACCGATTTGCTTCTCGTTGCCATAAACATAAGCGCAATCGAAATGTCTGTAGCCAATATCAATGGCATCTTTTATAGCTTGTGTAATTTCTCCTGGTTTCATCATTTGTCCTTCTTCAGGCTAAAATAAAATCAAATTAAATTTATACGGACAGAATCGCTAACTATTTTATAACGAATTATCTCTTCTTCAAGAAAGACTTACAATTAGAGTCTTTCTGATTTAGTTGCAAAAATATTTTATATCATTATTTTCGCATATTATATTTCTAGAGAATAAATAAGATTTTTCATTACTGCACTATTAGAGAAATTCAAATTTTAATCATAATGTAAGCCATTATTTTTCCAAAATTTATTTCTTAAATTTTACAAATAATTTTATGAATAAAAATTATAATAGTTTAATGATACGACAAACATATAAATATAACAATTGATTATCAAAACAAGCTAAAGAACAAGCTATGTGATCAATTGTAAAATTTATTGCTTGCATAACATGTATGTATGTACGTAACTGTTTTGCATTTAAACGCTAATGAAAAGAATTGTTATGAAAGTGATAATATAAAGACAATAAAAAAACGTACGACAAATAATACATATTTGTCGATATTATAATTATACACTAATAGGATAATTAAATTTACTCAATTACATTAATTGCATTATTTTAATATCCACAAGAATCAGGCGGAAAGGAGAATTTTAGAATAAAAAACTTTGTATGTTTCTTGTATATTGAAGAAGAATTGAAAAAATAAAAGATAAAAAACAACGAAAAAAACAAAGTAATTAAATAACATAAAATCTAAAATAAAATGCCTCATGTACAAGATTGTTTATTACATTTTTTAATATTTAAATTTAAATATACTTCTCTTCTTGCTTACATCCTTACATTCTTATTTTCTTTGAATTTATAGTAGTCTATTTGTGTTTACGTTCTTATCGCGAAACCAAAGTATACAACAACACTATTTAAAATAATTGTATATACATTTATGGAAAAAATTGCGCATTTGTTTGACATTGCGTTATATTTACATGGCCTTTGTTATTTCGATGGGCAAATTGTAGAGAAACTGTTAATTAAAGCATATATCATGAATTGGCAAAAATTTCAAAATAATTTGTTTTCGCCAAAATGCAGCAGTTTTATCAGGAAAATTTCTAAATAATATTTGTATAAAAGATAAATCCAATTTGAAATATAAATATTTTATAATTATTTTAAAAAACGTTTGATTCTTTATTTAAAATTGTGCCATGCTGAATATGTAATATTTCATGTTGTAGTATATTTATATAATAATTTAGCAATAATTAAATAAGAACAAAAGGCTAATAAGAGTTTTCGGCGCATATAGTCTTGAAATCTTGTATTAAAGATCTTTATTCCATGTTTACTCCATGGACGTTCGTTAATATTGTTTAATTTAAGAATAATTGTGCATTTTTATGAGCATAAACAAGGTGCCTCAGGATTTAACAGACATACTATGGAAGCAATATTCTGTAAGTAATAAAAAAATGTTTGAATAGAAATGCTTTACAAAGTTATATACGAATATTGAAACGGAAATAGAAAATAACAGATTTTTATTGCACAGAATATTAAAGTATACATTTCATGTACGGAAAAGTCGAACGTGTGTTTATCTCGCGTTTATTCACGTCATATATTTACTATCTTTAAACGATTCAGCGTCATTTTATAACTTTGTAATAAAGAATTTTTAGCCAAACTTCATATAATTTTTTTTTTATTTTTACTCATAGAACATGTTTCCGCAGTTTATCTGCTAAATTCTGAGATGTCCTACATATGGCTTAATTTGTTTTCTCTTCACGCATTATGTTTCTAAATGTTTTAAACATAATACGAAATATTTTTCTTAATTATTGAACAATTTCTGTTTTTAAATTAATTGTGCAAATATAACGCGAAGATAATTCATCTTATCGTTATTTTTTTGCCGAAATTAATTACGCAAACAGTTATCAACATTTTATAAAATATCAATATTTCTATATATCTACTTTTGTAAATATATTCATATAATTACAGATCACAAATTTTATATAAAAATCGTTATGTAATTTTATAAATATTTTTGGGGAAGCTCTGATAATAAATAATAAAAAATTTTAAACTTTAATATTATAATTTCGGGCTCAAAATATTGATTTAGAACACGTTTTCATATAGCAATATAAAATACAGATATAGATGACTTTTCTCAATAAAATCTAATTACATATTATATTGTTTGATGAGAACAATTTAATTAAATAAATCTATAAATCTTATTGATACAAGATCTGCATTCAGATGAGAAACTTATTTCTCATTTACTTGTACAAAATAATATTTGTATACACTTAACAATTTCCACAAAATACGACTCAATGACAAAGTTAAATATATCAGAATCAAAGATGTCTATATTAAATTACTGAAGAAATGTGAAAAAGAAACCTGCCTTGTATGTGCCAATGCCGAGAACCGGTACTTCGTTGCCGTTGTAAAACTTTATTTTTGGTGTGTTCACGACCATTTTACAGATGTTGATAGTTACAAAATGTATGCAATACGAAAGAATACAGTTATGAAGGAATCAGCGATGCAATACGAAAGAATACAGTTATGAATTAGGAATCAGCGATGCAATCAGCGACATATATCGTCTCACTTTCTTTTAGTTGTAATCTACTGTTTAGATAGAAGGAGACTAAAAAATGTCTAACTTACGAAGTCTTCCCCGTGGAGAATTGAGGAAAATTCTTTTATATAGTTATCGACGAACGTTATCATGGTAATTATCTATTTCGCCAATTTCCTTTGATATGTATGTGGAATGTGTTTGTCGCCACGTGCTGGGCTAACGATACATATTTTTACGAACTCAACTTCCCCCTTCCCTTTTGCTACATGTGAGAGCGAATACCGAGGAGGTGCTCCCGGCACTTCTCGAACCAACTTACTAGCAAGCGGATCTCTTTTCTATTGTATCTCCATATAGTTAAATATATCTATCATTACGTTACTCCGAATTTGGTGTGCTCTACCTATTAGCTCCGATCTTCCACTAATCCCGAAAAACACATCATCCTTATCTAACATGAATATGCACTTGCGAGTCGTCATATCGGGATCAAAAAAAGAGTAAAAATTCATTCCTCTGACAATCGCGTTCTGCTTGTTCACTCAAGCTAAAGTTCACCCAAAGAAAACTACTAAAAAGAAATTTAATCGATGTGATAAATGATCGTAGTAGCCTGCGATGATCTGAACATTCTGAACATATCGAGAATATGCTTAACCGGAAGGTCTAAGACGTAGCTACGGCAGCCCAATACATTAAAACGTCGCAAACAGTTTCTTAAAATTCTCATATAAAAATTAAGATTCATTTCATCTGGATTAGTATAGTCATGACTTGCTTTAGTGACATTTTATACAATGTAAAAATTTCTTTATTTTGATACATACATGTGCACAAGTTTTGATATAAATTTTACACACAAAATTAATTTTATATTATTTGAAAAACAATAACGAGAATATATATACTTAACTTTAATGTATAAACTTAGCTTTTTATAAAAATAATATAATGAGAAAGTGTTATAAACGAAAAATAATATTATTTATATACGCACAAATTAATAATAGTTCAAAAATATATTTAAATTCAAAAAGTTTAGAAAACACACGTAGAATATATTAAGCCTTCCTTATTCATTCCGATTGTTTAGAATGGAATATTAAACGGATAATAGGGGCTGGGTTTCGCTCTGAAAATAAAAAATAAAATGGCTATTATAATTGATATAATTTGATATTATTTGTTGTATCTTATAATATATAACTTGATATGTTGTATCTTAGAAGTTTAAAATATCGTCTTTATAAATGACAGCGATAGTAAGAAACTGAGTAACAAGTTCTTACCCCTCTACTGGACAAATTCTTCCGTTGCAATCAAAGGTGTCAATATAAGCAATGTCTTCGGGCGAAAGTTTGAAGTCAAACACGTCCATGTTCTGAGCAATACGTGACTTGGTAACTGATTTGGGAATCACTATATGACCACGATCCACCTACAAATAGTTATTAACATTTCGCATTAATACATTACTAGAACGTCAATGCGCGTTGTATATTTTTAAATAAATTAAAATTGTTTTATTATATTTGACGCCCGTCCCGGAAAGTCCCAGGTTCAAATCCTGGCTGAGGTAATATTTTTCGCAATTTTTAGTATTTTAAGATGCTTATAAGTTATAAGCATCGATTGATTAGGAAGATCAATCTGATATTTCTATTCCAGCCTCAGCTAATAATTGCGTTTCAAGTCCAAACATTTAATTGGCGCGCAGTTTAACGGTTGTACATGGATTTCAGAAAAATTCATGTAGAATTTATTAGGCAACTAAGATCCAGCCGTAGCGCGTAGCCGTGAAAAGGCGCTCTTAAAGTTAGTTGTGTTATTCACATAGGCGATCTTATTCAAATTATTTAATTATTATTTAATATATTTAATTTATTGCAAAGTATTAATATTGTAATAACATAAATAAGAAATATTAACTCGGCAAAAAACGAGCAAAGTATAATGTGACATGAAATCACTAAATCATAATATTAAAAATTTTTTTTAATTTAGTGATTTTATGTCACATCATACCTTGCTCGTTCCCTGACCGAGTTAACATTTCTTATTTGTTTTTCAAACACGAGCTAGTTAATGTAGTTTTAATTTTGTAATAACATACTTGATAACGAATAACTATTTGTGCAGGTGTCTTATTGTATTTTTGTCCGAGCTCAATTAATTTCTTATCATCCAACAATTTTGGATCATTTGGCTTGGCCCATGGTCTGTCTGGTGATCCGAGTGGACTGTACGCTGTAATAAGAATGTTCTTTTCCTTGCAAAAGTCCGACAACTTATTTTGCGTTAAATATGGATGACATTCGACCTAAAATAACATAAAAAATGTCAATGAGATTACGTCAATGAAAATAACTGTTTGAATTTCTCGGTATATAGATATTCTTCATGTTTTAATTTCTAATATATATAAAAATTGAAAACTGTTGATAAACATAAAAAAGTATTTTTATATATTTTATCAAATTGCTGATCCTCCAAATAACATTCTATTTCAAGATAATTAGTAAATATTATTGCAATTATACTGAACCAAAAAATAATTATTGCTATTCTTGACTTACCTGATTTGCAACAGGCTTAACCGTTGCATTCTCGAGTATTCTCGTAATCTGCTCGGAATTGAAATTACTGACGCCGATGTTCTTCGCCAGACCTTTGGACAGCACCTTTTCCATAGCTTTCCAAGTATCGAGGTAATCCACGTCGCTCAAAGCAGTTGTACCATCAGGATTTGTAGGGAAAAGCTCTCCGTCCTCCTTGTATCCGAATGGCCAGTGAATTAAATAAAGATCTACGTATTCGAGACCAAGATCGGCTAACGTTTTTTTGATGGCTGGTTCAACCAGATCGGGTCTATGGAAGGTATTCCACAGCTTGCTGGTGATGAATAGATCTTCTCTCTTCACGACTCCCTCAGCTATTTTCGCATGGACAGCGGCACCGACTTCCTTCTCGTTACCGTAAACGTGAGCACCGTCAATATGCCTGTAGCCGATGTCAATGGCATCTTTTACAGCTTGCGTAACTTCTCCTGGTTTAGACTGAAATAAAATCAAATTAAATTGAATCTCTGATCATTTCAAGGTCGACTCTCTTTTTCAAAGAAAGTCTGGAATGGTCTAATCGCAAGAGTAGTTAATGTTAAACGTTAGGTTTTCATATTATTTTTTCTATAGGAGAACAAATGGCCAGATAATATGATTCTAATTATATAATATAAATTATTTCCTATATTTCACAAATAATTTCATGATTAAAAATTATATTCTGATAATTTAAAACGCGATAGATGTACATGATGATTCGTTAGTGTTCAAGGTAATCAGTTATTAAGCAGTTAATTGCATAATATATTTACACTTAAACTGATAAAGAAAATGTAATTTAAGTGATAATATAAAGTGACAGTCATGCAAAGACACACAAGGTCACAAAATTTCCACTAAAGGAAGAAGTTAAAAAAAAAGACTTTTTATGTTGAGACAGAATTATGAAAATAAAAAAAGGAAAATAGGCAAAAAATAGTGATTGCGATAAAATAGATTATAAAATTAAATACATGTCGCGCCGAATATGCAAGAATTTATTAAATCGTTTTCTTTTGCCGCTTTAAATATATTTTTTCTATCCTAATTGAGTACTTCCTGTACTCATTTCTTGGAATTTTTTTAATATTATGTACAGTACTCCCTGAAATAATTGCATAATATTACGTATCATTCTCCGCCATTGGATATAAATTACAACCAGTCAGTTCTGACAACAATAACGTTAAAAGATTCTAGAATTTTATAAGAGTTTTATTTTACGAACACTCCAAAATGTAGTTCTAATTATATTTTCAAATTAGGATGTATTATCGGTATGGCGATAAGATACAAGCGTGAAACGATTCCGTTTCACGCGTAATACGTTTTGCTTGATTATTTAGCTGTCATCAATTCCACGAATAAATCAAATTCACAAATTCGCGAAATCAAAGTGTACAAAACGATAATTCTTCAATATAATAGATTAGATGTCAGCAGCAATATATAGCAATATGTATCAAGGTCACGCATTTTGATGACTTCGCAGAAAATTTGATCTCAGAATTGATGATTTAATGTCAGAATTTCTTCTGCGTAAAAATCTTGACAAAAATGCGTCTTAAATATACAGCATTGCCTTTATAGTTCAATGAAATTTTATTACGTCTCGTTACGTTACACTAAGTTATTTCGTTTAACTTATGTTGGTGCACGACACATCAAGGTTGATTTTACTTAACAAATGTTGCCAACAAGAGCTGTACATATTGAAATACAAGAAAAATTCTCGTTTACGTGACAAAAGTACAAAATAATTTGCGCACGCATTATTAACAATTACCACAAAATATGATCCAATGACGAAATTATAGTAAAATTATATCGGCATTAAAATGTCTAGACCAAACAACGGATTGAAGAAACGCGCGCGAGAGAAAAAATTAACTTGCCTTCCACGTGCCCAAACCGAGAATCGGCACTTCATTGCCGTTGTGAAATTTCACTTTCGGCACCTTCATTTTATGTGTCACCGGCGTCGATTTTTACAGCTGGAATTACGCGTTCGAGAGTTTTACGAATTAATGCGCTGACACGCGGAGGCCACCAGTCTCCCGTCCTACGACGTAATGCTGGCGGCTTCGCCTCAACCAGTCTCTTTATAAATATCCCCACCTAAGAAGACTGGATTCTCAACGGCAAAATCGATTTTATTCCGACAACAGACGCGCATTTGTGGTGGCGTGCCGGCATTGGAGATTTCATCGCAACGCGTTGTTCAAAAATTTTACAATCCACCGAAGCAACATTCAGCTTGTTGAATATTAAATTATCTGCATAATTGAACTTTATTAATAACGCGATTTCGATTTTACTCTTGTTATTTTTATAATTTTTCGGTCCCAATAAATATATTTTAAATTGCTACATGCTGTTTACCGTTTTGTGTATATTTAAAAAAAAATGCAACCTCTTTAGAAATTTTGACCCTCGTGAAACCATGCGTCTCGTAATTTTTACATAACGACGATATACGACGCTGATACGTAACACTCACACAACTTGCCGGCCGCGACCAGCAACAATATACTGATTCAAATGGCTGCGTGGTGGTGACTGAATTCGCCTATCCGGCAATCCGGCACCATGGAAAGTTACAGCGGCCGTTTAGGACATTTGGAGCAATGAATCAGGCCCTTGACGGCTCCTTGCGGAAGAACAAAGTTTCATTCACAGCAATATAGCGTTTAATAAAAGTCTGAGCAGAGTTGATGAGCAAAGTTCGGCGGTCATGCGGTGAGATTGTCGCGAGATAAATTATACTTTGTTTTTCATTACTGTGACAACTATTCTGATATTTTGTATCTTTCGTTCTTATTTCGTCAGATATATATAATATGCGCAGCATTGATGCCTGCAGCATTGATGCCTATTTTTTTAGAAATATCAAAAATTTTCTCGGAAGAAGAAAATCAATGGATACTTAATTTTATTAACTGAATTTTGTTTTATTCTTAAGATTTGTAGAATAACAAAATACTCGATAAAAGTTTTTACGAAAGAAAAGCATGGAAACGTATGATAAAATTATTATTAACTTAAAGGTGTTTAATAACCGAATATTGATTTTTTTTTCTAACATTTGGCTGTGCAAATTGAAAAATAAATTCAAAAATTATTTTGAATATTTTGTTTTTATCGGTGTTTTGATCGGTGTAACCAAAACGAAGAGTTTCAAGGGCGTTGAGATTTTCCGTCAGGAGCTTCTAAAGCTATAATCAATCTCGATTTATATCAAACATTGCGGAACTTACGATTTTTGAGTGCAGATTAAAACATTATATGCTATTATATATTAAAGCTTTATATGTCGTATTACGTGTCGTATACAAAGCGGACGAAAAATTGATTCGTGCGAGTGGTCTTGGCCCCAGACCTTGAAATTTTTCGCAGCGTCCAATAGCTGTAATTGTCTAGACCAAGGGTCGAGCGAACTTCAAACACCGTCGTGGGAACGTGGGCTTTTAAAGGGGATATTAATACGATTATTTACCATGTTATGACTTGTTTCCTGCTGTCTTGTAGATTCAATTAATTCGTGATGTTACCTGATCACGATTTTCGAGAAACGTCGTACTAATTGTAAGTCGTACAGTTTTTAATTAATATATTTCTCAATCCTTGTTTTATTTGTATCTACGGGTCAAAAAGGAAGAAATAACTATTATAGCATTTGAAAATCTTTTGAACTATATTTCAGGTAAAGTATATACAACTTTAGATAACAAAATAAGTTTCTTCTTTTTATATGTTTCCTCACACAACTTCAAAATATGTTAAAATAAACTTTTTCTTTTTATATGTATATAATTTATCTTATCTCTCTTCCTCTCTTTATCTTTAATATTGATTTAAAACGGAATGTTGAAGGGATAGTATTTGAAATTCTTCGCACTGCAACATAGAAACAAGAAAAAATTGTTTGGGAAAAGAATATAAACGTGTAAACAATTTATACAATGTATCACATATAATTCGAATTTTTAATAACTATTGTTTGACAAAATCCACTTTAAATAATCTATAATTTGTGTCAAATATATTGTAATGTATATGTGCATATTTTAATATATATTGTATGTTAGAATATGTATTTTTCGATTCTTTTCAAATATTTTTTTTTCCAAATAGTTCACATTACACGATATAATAAAATTGTACGTAGAATTTTGTTCTGAACTCCGACACAAATTAGAGATCAATTAAAATTAAAATTTAACGCACATTGTCCAACGAACAAAGGTGTTATTTAATGAAATTTTTAAATCTCAAAGGTTCTAAAATACATGGAAGAGTACATGATAAAATATAAAATATATCTTGCATATTTTAATACTTACACGTCGAAGCTAGCTACTCTCTTTCCAGTGCCAAGTTTACGGATAGCGTTTGTCTCATCGGATGTTAAGGCGAAATCAAAAATTTCCATGTTTTCCTTAATTCGACTTTTTGTTACAGACTTAGGTATCGGCGTAGCACCCTCTTGATACTGTAAAAAAAAAAATTATAATTGTCTATCTTAATTACACAAAAAAAAGACTCTCAATCTTTTTTTATTACGTACCACATATCGAAGTGCTATTTGCGCCGGCGTTTTTTTATATTTTTTTGCAAGTTGCAATATTAAAGGATTATCTAATTTGTTGTCAAGGCCCGATGAATTTCCAGGTTGTCCCAAAGGAGAATAAGCAGTTACCGTAACGTGATGTTTCTTGCAAAAATCTATTAATTTTTGCTGGTTTACGTTTATATTGACTTCAATCTACAATAGATTATTTCTTGACATTAATAAGCCTTGCAGCATTAACACAATATAAATCATATTAATATAAAACTTTTTAATTTTATAAAAAATATTTTAAAAATATACATAAAGTAGAAAAATGATCCATTAAAAAGATATAAATTAATCCATTGGAAAATGCAAAAAATCTGATAGGGAAAATGCAATAATTATAGAATGATTTAGGTGGTACCGTATACCTGATTATTGACTGGCGCGATTGTAGCCGATTTAAGTAAACGGGTAATTTGCTCGGAATTGAAGTTACTGACTCCGATGCTACGAACTAAGCCTTGGCGAACGCATTCTTCCATTCCTCTCCACGTTTCCAAATAATCGGTATCCGATTCGGAAAGATTTCCAGCGGCATTTAAAGGCATACAATTATCTCCCTCCTGCAAGATATCCCATAAATATTGCGAGTTAAAACGTAGGATGACTCATAACTGATAACTACTCATAACTGATATTCATATTTCTTCATGAATAAGAATTTATTGTTAATAGAAAAATAGTTACATTGTAACTTCACTTGACATAGATTAACAGTATTTTTTTTCTCAGTAAACTCTAGCTTTACAATAAATTTTTATCGTTATTTTGATGTTATGTAACGCAGTGCAGTTAATAATATATACTTATATCTGGAAATCAATCTACTGTCTTGCAATTTCTTAAAGTGTTTGTACAGTCAGAAAAATCAAATTTTTTTCTAAGATTTCTTTTTCGATACCAATATTTACCTTAAAGGCGAATGGCCAGTGAATTAAGAAGAGATCCACATAATCTAAACCGAGATTGGCCAATGACTGTTTGCAGGCCGGAACAACGAGCTCTTCTTTGTGAAAATTATTCCACAACTGCAAAAAAACATACAATTTTTTTTTACAAAGCGGAATATTTAATTGAAATTTTTATACTTATTGTGTCTCTTAGAATAAATAAATTATTTGGAGTTAAGTAAATGGTAAAATTCTAAATAAATATTTATACCACATTTAATCATATGTTGATCTCACCTTTGTGGTAATAAATAGGTCCTCCCTGGTCACTTTTCCATCTTTGATTATATCGCGAATGACTTCCCCTATTTCTTTCTCGTTGTCATAAAAGAAAGCTGTGTCAATATGACGATATCCAAGATCTATTGCGTCCTTAACAGCTTTTTTTACATTCCCCATCTGAGACTGTTGTTTTCAATGACAGAAAAAAAGGAAATATGAATGGCACATGGCACGAGTGAAGCAAGTTTTGCGAAGAAAAATTGAACTTCCAGTGAAGATATTAAGTAAAAAGTTGTCGTTATGTTATAAAATAGATAGGATTAATGATACAGATCGTTGTGGAATGCGGATGCGATAAAATCGATTGCTCGATTTCCATTTTAACGTGGATGTAGCGGTACGTTTGAAATTCAAATAAAACGCGCGTAAATATAACACGGTCCATGCTACAATGATAATGATGATGATGATGATGATGATGTAACTCGCACACTTTCTATCGCTCATTATGGAACATGTACCTTGTAAGTTCCAAGGCCCAGCATCGGCATTTTGTGTCCATTTGAAAATGTGATTGTCGGAATATTAGTCATTGTTATATCGTCGATAAAATAGATAGGTGATGCAAGCAGCAGGAACTGTATGCAAGGCCGTTAGAGGAAATGACCAGCTTCCGCAACAGAGTTTCCTCGATTACGATAATACAGCACACTTCGATTAACTCGTTTATATGCAACTCACGATATCAATATTCGCGGCGCGAGAATTATTATCTGGAAATAAAGGTACTAAAAATAAACTGATACTCTGCTATCTCGAAACGTTCATCACTAGAGTTGCCGAATCGTGTAAATAGCGACTGAACGCATACCTACAATGTAGGAACACTGTCGACACGACATCGCCCGTGTCACGTATAGGCTATAGCAATAGCTCTGTGTATGTGTGAGCAAAAGAGAGAGAGAAAGACAGATGTATAACTACATATATTTGAGAAAATCAATGATATACGTAGATGTGTACGTTATAAGCTAGCGTTGGCTAGCGTTATAGCTGGCCATGGATGTTTGAAAGCTAAGAAACATCATACGTATATTTCTTCAATTAAATAATATTTGTATATTTTACTAATGTCTTAAATTAAATAATAAATTTATTAAATGTAGTTTTTGTTTGTAATTAAACATTTTAAAACCCCATTCATAGCAACAAGAAAATTATTATAATTACTTATGAATATATAATATATCGAATTAATTATAATATCAATTTGAAAAACAGGATGCTGTTATCTATTAAAATCTGTCTGGATTTAAGTCGTCATACTCTGCTTCTTATTGATAAAAGAAAGAATTACGGAATTCGTGTATAAATATAATTTCCACGACTTCACAAAACATATTTAGGCAACAAATTCGTCGACCTTTTCTAAAATCGGAAGGATTATTACGAAAATATATTTCGAATTGTCTAGAAATCAGAAAAACCCGTCTTACCGTACGCACGTATATGTGACACAATTAACATGAGAAATTTTAATTACCAGCACGATATTAACGTTCACTCTGCACTATGATTCCACACGCTCCACGTACGTCGCAGTGACTGTTTGCTAATCCGACACTCACATGCTATTTATTCAATGGGTATTACATAATTCAATCTACAGTTTCATTCCTTATATTTTTAATCGATTGTAAATGAAAAAAGAGAGTCATTCTTGCAAAACGGCAATAACGCGCGGTATTATCTGTCATTTTATAGATCGTCAATAATTTGCTATAAGGCTTGTAATATTTAACTCTAGATTAGATTAATGCTGTGATACTAAAGAAACTTTACGATATTATGATTTGCTACAGTGATATATGAGATATCATATCTTGCGTTTAATGATAACAAGAAGTTATTACAGTACATTATGAAACATATGTTAACTTGTGAAATAAACAGTATTGTTTAAAAATAAATGTCAAATGCAGATAAAATGCACTTCTCTAATCTCGAGTCATTAGAATCAAATTTTTTATTATTATTAACTTGCTTATTAACTTTGCTTTAACCATGACTCGTACGTTCGCTTACGCAAAATGGAAATACGTGTCATCGCTGTTCGTGTATAACGATGACCGTAATATTGCCAGTCATCATCAATCATTATCAATCATTTTTAGCGTATGCGTAGATAAGCTAACTAATTGAAAAGTAGTGGGAAAATAGGATGGATTCAGTTTTTGAAGTCTCAGATGAGATTTCATAAACTAGATCTCTTTTTCCATAATACAGAACATATAGGAGTGATTAAGAATAAAGAAGATTGAAAGAATTTAATTCTGTGTAATATAAGATTTATTCCACAAACGTGTATTATCATAATATTGCCAGTATTGTACAATCATGTACTTCACGACTGGATTCCATCATCAAAAAATATGAGAGACGTCTGCCAGATATTCGCCGTCAAAATTCCAAGTGAAAAGGATATTCTTTATGTGCTTTATATCTGAAAAAAATAAAGAATTTTTTATTTGTTCAAAATTTGCTAAGATTCTTAAAAAAAAAAAAAGAAATAATAACGTAGACGTACTCGTCAAAAGGTATTATACGTCCACCGCAATCGAACTTGTCCATTGTAGCAATTTCCTCCGGAGTTAACTTGAAGTCAAAGATGTTAATGTTCTGTTCCATACGCTTCTTTGAAACGGATTTTGGGATCGGTATAGTACCAATGTCAACCTGTTCTCAAGAAATTGCCAAATTATTTAATTTATACAATGTATCTTAAAATCAACGCGGATATCCTGTTAATGACATATTTTCTTTGATCAATTTACAATTAATTTTTCCTTATCAAGAATCATCGCAGTTGCAACTTTTCAACTTTTTGCATCTTTTTTAACTACGCTTTTAATTAAGATTTTCTTAAAGTAAATATTCATCTAAAATTAATTGGAGAAGTCATTTTGCCAACCCAGTTCAAAATTCGCGAAGTTTGGTTTCTTCTTTTTCAATTGCTTATAAATCAAAAATTATTGATGTCTTGATATTTTCGCCAAGAAAAAATCGCTACGAAGTTGTCCAAGGATTAAGATCATTAAAGAAACATTCGGTAGTCCGATAAATTAATTAATAATAGCACGTCTTACCAAATATCTCAGAATAACTTGCGCGGGAGTTTTGCTGTATTTGGCGCCGATATTTACAATTTCTGGTGCATCGAGGATAATTTTCGGATCGCTGGGCTTAGCCCAAGGTCTACTAGGCGAACCGAATGGGCTGTAAGCCGTGATAGCTATGTCACGATTCGCACAGAATTCTCTCAATTTCCTCTGATTCAGATACGGATGACATTCCACCTGATTCATCACCGGTTTTATTTGGGCGATCGATAACACGCGGTCGATCTGTTCGGAGTTGAAATTGCTGAGACCAATACTCCTCGTTAAACCCAATCTCACGCACTCCTCCATGCCGCGCCACGTGTCAAGAAAATCCTCGTGTCCGAACATCGGATTGCCGCTCTTGTCTACCGGTATAATTCCGTCAGCATTTTCCTGAAATAATCGCGGCATAATCAGGAACGCCGATGGCTTCGCGACTTTAATTTTCACCGTAATGCAAAACTTGCATTAACGTTTGCATTGCGCGATATTTATTTCCTTACGTCTTGTATAAACGTTAATAACATCGACTTTTATCTAACAATTTATGTAACAACTTCTTAAAGTCATCGAGGAGTATCGAATTCTTGAATAAACTTACTGCAAAAGACATAGGCCAGTGTATCAGATACAGATCCACGTAACCGAGCCCAAAGTTCTCCACGGATTTTCGACAAGCCGGCACTACGTCCTCTCGTTTATGAAATGTGCTCCACAGCTGTATACAATTGATTTTATTAATATATATTGGGATTCGCACGAGGGGACAACGCAAACGTACATACTTTGGTAGTAATGAAGAGATCCTCCCTCTTCACGATCCCTTTCGCGATCTTCTCACGTAGGACTTTGCCGATTTCTTTTTCATTCTGATATATGTAAGCGCAATCGAAGTGTCGATATCCAACATCGATAGCATCGTGCACAGCTTGCTCGACGACCTTTGGATCGTCCTAAAATAAAATTAAGTTAATAAAAATATTCTTAAAAGATGAAGTTATCAAAATCATTCTTAATTTTATAGTAATAGTTTTGAATTACAAGAGTTCGTTCATCGCAATTGTTTAAAGCAAGTGTTGTTTTACACAACGTTTTTTACTTTTATAACAATTATCATGCTATAAAAACTAACACCTAAAAGAATGTAATTCCATAAATTATATTTTTTAGCGCTGTTGATGAAGAAAATATAATTTATAGATTAAACCAATAAGATAAAGAGCTATCTGCAGTCTAAATGGATGTTTAATGCTTTAAATTATAACAAATATTAGTTAAATAACGACGTTTCGACCTCTATCAGATCATTCTCAATACTAAAGAATAGCAATTTTAACGACAATTGACATAATTCATACATCGAGTTTGATTATTGCTAAACGCAGAACATTTTTATAAATTTAAATTATTACAACTGTTAAATTTTATTGCAAGAATTATTATAATTAATTGTCGTTAAAAACTTTTAACGACAATTAACATAATTCACACACAGAAAGAACAATTTTGCTAAGAGCTCTAAAAATTTTGCTGGATATATATCTGAAAATAATTTTCTTGGCCTCTCAAAATAATTTTGGTAGAAACTCGAAAATGTTGAGCACCGCTGTAAAACGCTTTTATATTTTAACAATCAGTTTGGCCTTCCAACAAAATTATTTTCAGATACGTATCCAGCAAAATCGTTTTTTTCGTGCATATGAAGTTTGACTGCTAACCGCAGAACTGCTACATAAATTTGAATTGTTATAACTGCTACATTTTGTTACGAGGATTATGCGCACACCTGCGGTTTTAGCACTCTCCGACTAAATGTTATATGTAAAAATGCCATTTTGCTTATTGTCTCACGTCTTAAATCCGGGAAAACATTGCGTATGTTATATTACTGAAATTGCGCATTTACCCGCATATTTATTGAAGTCTTCCTACACAGTGGTTACAGCGATTTGCATTTTAGCGATGATTTTTTCTTGCCCGTAAGAGTAATTCATACATATTCAAATTTTATATTTATTTGCTGTAGGCGTTTTATTATAATTTATGTATTATTTCGATTAATTTTTATTATTTTATTGTTTAGCATTGAGAATGAACCGATATAGATGCCGAAATGTTATTATTATACTTAACTGTTTCATATATAATTTTTTTACAATTTGTTTAATTTTGTTATAATTTAACATTAAATATCCAAAGGCATAAGTTTATAGTCTTTTATTTTATTTGATTTAATTGGTTGATTTATTGAGCCTTAGATTTTTACATTTTATTGATAATTTATAGAATCATTCATAGAAAATATAATTCACTCTAGCTGCTAGAAAAAAAGCATTGCCTAAACTTTACTTGAACAAATAAATTATTTGCCTGTAATTCTATTAGTTGATTCTATTAGTAACCACGAATTTTGCGTTATCACTGACATTGCAAAATATCTCTTTCGACATCAGACGGTATGACTGTCAATCGCAATGACCAGTCTGAACAGATAAGTCAAATTTCTTTGAGTGAGTAGATTATATATCTGTCATAAGATTTTACTGTCACTTACGCCAGCCTGCCAGGTACCAAGCCCGAGTACGGGAATCTTTGCACCGTTGTTCAGAACTGTAGTCTGCGCTGCCATATCTTGTCAAACTAAACTGTTTATCTCAACGTAACTTTCTAACAACGATTGATGTATATACTGGTACACATGTATATACTAATGTGATACCCAACCAATCCGGATTATGTAACGTTATAATCGTTCAAATTACGTAACTGATAGATCACGTATTAGCAATCTTAAACAGGTATGCCAGTAATCAACAGTCTACGTCTTTTATTCGTAATTATTATACAACTTTGTAATTATTATAATAATTAAGAATAAAAGAACTTTTTGTAATATTCTCGTTTCCAGACGTTCTTGCTAAGGTTTACATGTTACAAATGTAAAATAACGGCGAAAATACAAAAAAAATTGACAGAATTCTAAAAAAAATATTTTATTATAAAACGGATTATTTGCAACAATATGAAAGTTCCTTAAAGTCTTAGATAACAATATACAGTTTCATACAAATATACAAGAACATGATTCTGTAAAAAAATTATTTCTTCCTGATTTTCAATATATAAATAATATAAAACAGAGATATTGAAGTAATGCCAATGCGATCGAACACGGATGTTGGTGTGTAATAATTTTTATTATTACAATATCCAGCCCCGCACAAACTGTGCGACACAATTTTTGTCAATCTTAAAACACAGTTTTTACTTGAAGCCGGAATCCAATGAATTAAATTGTAATAAAAATTATTATACACCCTAACATCCGTGTCGGCTCGCATTAGTATTATATACTCAATATCTCTGATTTATTCTATTAAGAATCTGATTTCTTTCAAATCCTTTCTTTTAATCCTATAAAAGTCGTTCGTTGCAATTTTTCTATTTTTCATGTATGTATATTTAATGTTAATCCAGGAACTTCTTCAAGATATTAAAATACATCAAACATACAAATCGCGAGACATTTTTTGCGTTCATGATTGTACCATCTGCTATTCCGTCGTGTCGGATTTCTTCTTACTATTTTTATTTTGATTTCTCTCTTGTTTCGATTCTTCCGCCTCGTTTTCAAGATCTATCCTAGTTCTCGAACGGACGCCGGGTCCCCAATTTACGGTGGGGTTCAGTTGGAAGCGGGACAAATGTTTCTGCCGGGAAATCGGATTGGCGAGGGGATGCGTGGCAAACGAGATATCCGTCGTGGACAATGCGGTAAGTATCCGCATAGCCGGGCTGAACTTCTCCAGCCTCTCCCGTTTCACCGGATGATCCTTCTCCCAGGCGCGCACGATATCCCATATAATGTCGTTCGGCGCGTCCGTCTTGATGGAGACCTTACACGCGTGCGAGTACGACACCTTGTGGCCGGCGTTCAATAGCGCCGATCTGAACAACAGCATCGGCGGAACGGAGCACTTAACTATGGACATCAAGCGATCCAGATTGTAATACAGAGGAACGTCCAGTTCCTCGTGTATCATGGTCAGGACACCTTCCATCCTTTTCGACGTACCCAGCTCCATGCCGCTCAAGCTGCACAACAATCGCGACACGAACTCCTGATCGTGCAGAGGACCCAGCCATATCGGACCTCCCATGAATTGCTGGTACTGACACTGCTCACACCGTTGCTCTACCGCGGGTGCAGGCGGTACCTTGTAGCCCTTCGTTTTGGAGGACTTCGTCATTAACGGTTGAACGTTCATACTCTCGCAGCCGCGACATTGATAGAACATTCCTATGTTACTGGAGGTCTCCTTACATTTAACGTGACTCGTGAAGACCTTGACAAATACTCTTATGTAAAAGTCGACGCTTACAGACAACAACGGTACTATGTAACGCGCGTAACGTCCCGCGCAGGACGCGATGCTCTGCAACAATATCCTCAACGCTAACTCGTGACAACACTTCGACTTGATGGGTATCGCTCCGTACTTGTAGTAACAGGTCTCCGGAACGTTGCCGACCAGAACAGCCATGTCGGTGGCGGTGACCAAGAGGATGCCGCCGTCGGACACGCACTGCACCGCGCCGTCGAGATACCTCGACGGGCAGCCGTACGGATCCAGGTCGACCGCGTCGAAGCGATTGTGCCTGCGCTGGTACATCAGCAACGTCGCGTCCTCGTGATGAGGTGTCACCAAATTCTCGACTCCGTTATGCAAAACGTTCCGCCTGATGCTGTCCACCGCCTTCTCGGAGATGTCGTTCGCAACGATCTGCCGGACACCCTCGACCTCCTTGGCGTATCTTATGCTACGCAAACCGGTCGCGGATAAAGCTTCCAATATAGTGATTCCCGTCCTCCGGCCTTCCGTATCGCGCGGCGTGCTGCTGATCTTATCGTCTTTCTCCGAATCGTTTTTCCGCCGCAGCTCCTCGTCGAGTCGTTCCTTCGCGAATATCGACAGTACAGCTATACTGAGATCCCTATTGAACTCTTGAACCGGATTGTAAAACACCTTTCCGTCCGTAACCAATATCTGCGCCTTTCCCTCGCTCACGCTCGTGGGAGCCTCCTCGAGTCTCGGCTTCTTTGCGCATTGCGCTTCTTGCTCATCGTTATCCATACTTGGATATGTTACGCTAAAACGTATGTGTACGTTATAAGTACAAATGTATATTAAAAAATATTATAGAAAATATCTATTTTAACATGTACATTTGACATTTGTATATATATATTTTATATGATGCTATTATTATTATACATACGTTTGTATATGCAATCGGTGCTGTATTTACACGGTTTTTTTTTTTACTTTAATTATCCAAATATCTATCTGTAATAGAATGAAAAATTATGTTTCTCTCCGGGGACGAGATAACCTATTTGGCGTATTTCAACGAAGTTTGTGATTATGCGCCAACATGTGCTTCTTCGACAGAAGAAACTGTAAGCCAAATGCATGGATGGTAAACGTTATCAAATGTCGATAAAATAGTCGTGTTAACACTGTCAACATAATTCACGTTTTCAATATATCGAAATCTGTGGTTCTCACGCGGCATCGCTTCAAAAATTTATACATGATATTGTCGAGTCAAGACAAAATGGATTAAAAAAAAAATGTACGAGCGGATAAAAAAAGGCATTGCTTCAACATTTATTTACTGTGATATTCGTACACAAACAATCACTTATTTCTAATCGAATTCCTTATATCTACAGTTCAAAACAGTACTGTGGGTGTGTCTGCCGCTATTCAGCTAAACTAAAATAAATACAATGTAGCCTATCCTGGGATCTATTATGAAACTATGTCAGGTTGTTGGAAAAACGCGCGACATTCCGTTCGTCTCTTTGAGCTACATGGACATCCTTTTTCGAAATCCTACATTATATGACAAAGGTAAATGGTATCTTTTTCGGTTGCGCGAAGAAATCTGATGTAAAGCTACTTACTCGAAGTCGACTTCTCGTTTGTGAAAGATTTCCTAATCGTTTTAACTATATTCTAATCAGAAACCTTCCCCCCGAATAGTTCCACAATAGCCTCTCCGATGTCTTAAAGACTTAAAAAAATCAAAGGATATGTTCGCACGCACACACCGTTCTCAAAAACTCAACTTCGATCGCGGCAAACCGATTATCATTGAATAAAACGGAATATAAAAGTTCTCTTTAACATACGAACGTATTTGCTGGGGTATAAGTCAGAGATTGAAATGACGTTCAAAGGGCATGTAAAAATGAAAAGAATCGCTTCAACAACAATCTTCTTTCTCGCGAAAATCAGGGAATTATTATAATCAAATATACGTTGAATATTTTTCAATTGTGTCGAGTTTTACTAAAAACAAAAAAATTTCAGTTCATAAGAGTGTCAAGCTCTAATATTAGACAAGTTATAGAGATTTAACATATATTTCAATACAAGAATTTGTCTAATATGAATGTACAAGACAGATGTGTCTACATTTAATATAAGATAAAAATTATACTGCATTTAATTTTTCAAATTCTATTATTATTGTTAAATTCATTTCTCTTTAATATTGATGTGAATTGTTACTTCAGTCACGAAACGATTCCATTCAACTTACGATATCATAAAAGAATTTTTTAAGGATAAACTAAACAATATGAATATTATAACTTCTGACAAATTCTGACGATTATTTATACTGGGAATGCTTGATCAATGATCATCAGAAAACGTTGCTTAAGCAGCAGTAAACATTTTCTATTATCAAAAAAAATATCAAATATTTTTGTATGATTTCTAAAAATACACGCAATTATAAAATGATTCTGTTTGTGTTCATGATATCATAAGGCGATTTTAAGTGATGGATTTCGAACATATATTATTTGCTGGCGCTCTAAAAATTATTTCAATCAATATCTACACTGGAAAAGAATTCACTGACTTGCAGTCATTTTTGTAGAAAACACTGAGTTTTTATACATCAGCAAATACTTCTTTTATATTATCGAGAAAAATATCAACATTTCTTAGTTTTATCAGACTTCAGATTAGTCTGATCATGAAAAACAGATACTCGCACTTTTCACGCCACGTCCTTTTCCTGTAACGGTTTCTTGCAGAGAGAAGCGGCCTCCTCTTCGTCCTCCGCTTTGCGCTTTTTTCTAACCAAATGCGATATATCGCTGGCAGGTTTGGACGTACTACTACTACTACCACTTGCAGAAGCCTCATTCGCTTCACCTTCACTAGAGCACCCGTTCAATCTCTCCTCCTTAATCTCTTTGAGCACATTGGCTTCTTTCTTCATATCGTTGATGTCCGCGATTTTTTCCTGGATCTCTGGAAGAAGTTCCTGCAACTCCTTGATTTCCCCCTCGACGGTGTAGAAGGGATCGTCGGATTGAGGTGGGGCATCCTGCAAAGTCTTCAGATGCACGATCTTCGCTTCCAGGAGCGCAGACGCCTGGTTGAATTGTTCGATGCTGATGTCAAAGTTGTTCGCCATCGCGTGCGCCAAGCCGAGCTGATAGTGGATCTCGGCGATCGCACGATGGTCGCGCGGAGTCATCTTCTCCTGCAGATTCAAACAGGCCTTGAAATCGATCAGCGCGCTCTCGTGGTTGCTACCCTCCATTGCGACCTCGCCAAGTAGACGGTAAGCCTCAGCCAAAAATTTCCAGCCCGGAGGTCCGCGTTTTACTAGCACCAGCTTCGCCAGTTCTAAGACTTCCCAAGCGATCTAGAAACGGAAAGAAGTTAGACATTAGATTCATTCACTTCAATTCAATGGATTACATTAAATTGACAATTGAACTTACAATTAGATTCATTCATAATTCAATTAATTATCAATGGATTACATTAAATTAACAATTGAACTTAAATAACTCAAATTCAACAAGCCAATATTCGATACAACATAATAATACGATGATAGATCTTCTAACATCGTGATTAGTCTAGGTAGATCACCTGCAGATTGTTGATTTCATCCTCATCCTTCTCAACGTCCTCTTCTTCATCTCCATCCTCATCTTCGTCATGTTTTCTGTTCAAGCCACTACCAGAAGCCTCGCCATTGTGCAAATCAAGATCTCGACTACAGCCAGGAATTTCTTCTCTCTGCTTGTTCTTTTCCTCGACCTTGCTGTCGACCGTTTTATCGGATTCTTCCGTCTTTTCGTCCTTTTCAACCTTTTCAGCCTCCTTTTCATCCTTCGATTCTTCAGTCTCTTTCTCCGTTGTCTCTTGCTTGTCATCCTCTTTGCTGTTTGATGTGCAAGGGCCACCTTCCACGATATGATTACCTTCCGTTACGGCTCCCTCCTCGGTTTCTTCCTCCTCCTCTTCACCCTGTTCGTCCTGACTGACTTCTTCAGATCCGGGCACACCACCACCCAGCACCCCCGCCTCCTCGCGTGCCAGGCCCAGAAGGGCTCGTCCGTAAAGTAGGTAGAGCTCACCCATCTCGTCGCCGGTCTCTCCATGCTCCTGAGCAAGAAGCTCGCACGCGCGAGCTAAGACGGCTACTGCCATGTGGTAATCGCGCACCAGGAGGTGGCGTTTACCCTGAGAGATTGCCGTCGCGGCGTCCTTGATCGGCACTTCCTCCGACACATCGGCCATCTAAAGAACAAAGAGAGAACATATAATATCATATATATCAGATAATATCATATATATTTTAGTAACAAGCGAGAAATCTCTCAACGAAGTACGCAGGCTGTATCGAAGGGTAAGATCAATCAATGACGATAGAGAACGTCGCTTTAAACATAAATAAGCCGAAAATCCCTATTATGTCATATTTCTTTCTACATGACCTTTTCACAGAGGCACGAGGCGGGAACTAAGTTTAACGAGTTTCTGTACCTCTTGATATAACGCTGACTTCTCAAGGAGATGATGGATGTACGTGCGGCATTAGACCCACGTCAGACTAAATATTTCTGGACTATATATAGATAAGTTAAGAAAATATTAGCAAAAGAAGTGTATACATACAGATGGAAACAAGAATTTTATTTCGTTCAAAAGAGGTAACATTAATTGTAGTGAGCTGAAATTAAAATTAATTTTAGCTACGAATCTAATTTCTGCCAAACGACCTTTGATCTTTGACGACTTATAACGAAATCTTAATCTCCAATGTTTAGCGAGCTTTCAATTCGCGAGTACATCGAATTGTTTCGGAAGATGTAGGAAGGGGTGTGTGTGTGGGTGTGATAAGGTGGACATCCACAGCATCCGCGCGGGTGGGGAGGAGAGGAACCGGGTGGCTGTCCGCGTGGGTCGATTCGTCGTGGCGCTTCAACGTGGAAGGGTGGAGGGCGTCCGCATCGCCGAGGATGCCGGGGAGAGAAAGCGAGAAAGAGCAGGTTCCAAGGGCGGTACGTCGGCCAGTAACGAGTCGGGGGACGCGAGCGTCGCGTTGCAGGCGTCGCCCTGGGCGCCGCCGTTCGTGAGCAGATGGAGCCGAGCCGCGTGCCCCGGGGCCCCGCTTCGCGCCTCGTCTTCCTCTTCGTCACCCTCGTGCTGACCGTCGCAGGTAAAGAGAGACGAGGAGACCGGCGCCGCGTCCCGGAAGAGACTGACCGACTTCTCGAACCGTGAGAAGTGTAAAAGATCAATGCAATCTCTCTTTCTCTCTTTCTATTGATGTATATTTTGAGAAAACTGGTGCGGAAGATCTCGCCAGAAAGTTGAAAACAAAATTATACAATTCCGAACTGTTGCGCTTCGACACTGAAGTTCCGAAGAAATTTTCCAATCCTCCCGCCTTCTTTCTTTTCAGAGAGAAAACTTTTTGCTGACAAATCGAGACTTAATAAATAAAAAAAAAAAGGACAATTCAATAACTGCGGAGACAACGCGATAACAACTTTCTTTGTCGTTTTCTCAGCAACGGGGCTCCTGTGCGGCGCGATAATGTCGGACCACTGGGAAGAGATCGACTGGGACAAGGAAGATCTGAACCACGCGAATGTCAACCTCACCTGGTACCTGAACGGTCAGATAGCGAGACTCGAGTCTTCCGTTAATCACCGAAATAAGCATCGCGTCGCCAAAAGTTCGTCCTTCCTGGTTCCCATGCACGGCGGCATTTGGATTATGTGTGTTTCATTGTCAGGTATAAATCATCGTGATTTTTGTAACATTAAACTTAAATGTACATATATCTCACTCTCTCAGGACCGCATATATGTCTTTTGTACACGCTTCAAGACTCAAATATGATACATTATCCAAGCTTGTAAATGCGATATATTCCCAATGTTTTCAGTCATATTCCATGACTTATTAATTACACTTAAATTATTATTATAAATGTTTTTAATTTCAATCGCGGTGATCGCCTAATAAATGCTGTTATATTATCGGAGACATCAATAATAATAACGTAAATTCATCGAGTAGATGATTGATGAGGAGAAACGCAAATCGAAAGAAATTAATTCTTTACGATGACAGATAAAAATTATTCGCAGTCGTTCGTGAATGTACGCGACATTAGATTGTGCCGTTCTCTCTAACATATCCAGATCTTATTAAGATATGGATACAATCAACGTTTCGTGTTTTTCTCGCTCGTGCCAATAGAAACATTATCGGTCTCATGAATCGGCATACGCAAACGAGGTTTGGCTCTAATGTGACGGTGTTGCTCAAATCCACGGTAAAAGCAGGGATCACGGTCACGCGATCGTAAGGATACTCTATGCTTAAATTGTGCGATTCAACGGTTCGATATCTCCGGCCAGAGTCAAGGTGGCATCTAAATATAGTCACGTGTATGTGCAATATATAGACAAGGTAATATCTGACAAAATTCCAGCATAAGATACATATTGTGTTTCCACGAAATACGATAAGCATCGTTTTTCTATCGCTTCTTCTTTAATTAATCTTTTAAAGTTAAAGTTCTACGTGTGCACACTGCATTCACTTCAAATAGATTAAAAAGCCTTTATAATAAAACAGTCAACATGTAAAAATATACGATTGATAGGAGAAGTGCCCATATAATGAAACGTTAAAGTATTTACGATGTACGTGATCGCTGTATCTCCTTTTCGTTTAATCGAACGGGTGCAACCTTGAAGAGTACTTGAAGAATTCGGGGTCGTAATTGTCTCATTTAGTTATTTTTGCCGGAATTCATAGAGTCTGAACACGCTAAGCGGTGCCTAGTACTGCTCGCACCACCTTCACGCGTGACATTCATATCATGGTCAAGGTGTTAAAATTTCCTACAGTTAAATCTATTAAATCAAAGGATGCACCAAAAGTACGATAACGACCCTTGTTGTTCGGCAATTTCTCGAAAAACTACACGCAAATTTTTTATTCTCTCAATTAAAAAGATATTATTTAAAACCGGAATCCGGAAGAACGAAAAGTTTTAATAAATTTCCTCTTAATGGCATTTAAAGAGAATTGTTTCCTTATTCTAAATAATTTCTAGTATCTATTTTTTTATATAATTTTATCTATTTATATGAAAAAAAAATCAGAACAAAAATTAAATGACCGAAAATCGTGCTTGTTCTTCTAGAGGAAGAGATACAGCTGTTAAGTCACGTGGGTTTCCCGCAAAAGAGATGCGTCAATTACTTGACACCGAGCGAAAAGACACACGAGACACGCGGAGGTTGGCAAAATCGTAAGTAAATAAACATAAATTTAATCGAAGGACAACACTTTCTATAACGAATTGTTTTCATTCTTCGGCCATTATTCGAAGAAATCGCTATATTTCCTATGAATATTTATCATAAATCTCGTTAGTTGATCAATCTAATATTTTGTTGCAGGAATGCAAAATCTGAGTATCTCGTGCTCCTTGGTGTGCCTAATCATTTTAGGATGCGCTGCACTTATAGGATTTTTCGGACTGTGCAGGCATCAAATATCGGCCGTGCTCGTGACAGGAGTGATGTACCTCCTTGCAGGTAAAATTAAATACCACGATCACTTGATAAACTATGATCTACATTCTACATCTATCAAGATTTCAAATATAAGAAATATTGTTAGAATAAAAGAAAAAAATAGATCCATAAACTTAATTGTCATTTATACAACGTTAGCCATTAAAGTACAATATTAAGCAATGGCGATTAAGCTGGGAATCACTGGATCTCATTCCAGCAACATTCGCGCTGTTCACGCTCACGATCATCCACTTCAAGAGGGCCCAGGACCGCGGGACCAAACCAATAGCACACGGACCTGACGACGGCGTGATCGGCATGCCTGTTCTCCGCAGCATTCTCAAGGCCAGGAGAGTCACCACCGCGTGGAGCATGGATCTGGGATGGGGTGGAGTCACCCTCTGTGCCCTCGCGTCGGTAGCCTGGATCCTCCTCAGTAAAATCATGCGCTTCAGCCCGATCGCTGCCATGATAGCGTAGCAGTGGGACGCCTTCGAGGTCTAAGGTCGTTTCTGAGAGTCCTCACGACATTTCGACGATGTTCTGCGTTCCTTTCGGGTAACATCTTTCCTGATCGATATGTCAAGTTGGCGCAAGAGATTTGTTTCACAGTCGAGTTGTATTGTAATCCTCTACCAGACAGATGTATTTTTCCGGATATTTTTTCAAAACCACGGTTTCGTCTTTGCTTGGCAAATATGACAAATTCTTTGCATCAACTAAATAAATCTCGAATGTTTACCTCCTGCCAAAATATAGATTTCAACAGTACGAATTTTTCCGAGATTTAGATATTCATATCCATAGGAATCGAAATCTTCCGAAACCTTGAAAAGGATCGCAAACTGAGATGGCTATAATATTATTGAGAAAGTTGAGAAATTTCAGAAATGATCATCTCGAAGGCGACCATTTACAGGTGCCTATTTTATATAATTTAACGTTTGCATAAATACCACGTTATTTCAATCAAAACAAAGAACGTGAGTTCAAGAAGATAAAAAGCTTTCGATTAAAGTGTGCTTGATTGATCGACGCTTTGTAGAATTGCTGAATGTATGTGACAATTTACATTCTTCCGCATTCGATTTATTTAATACAAGTAACGAAACAAGTTCGCTAAAAAAATATAAAAAAAAACAAATCTGCTATATAAATATATACTCGTGATACAAAAAAACAAAATGTAATGTTTTTATTGATTTTCTCTCGGCTGACATTCTTGCCGGTATACAGTAAATGACTCAGGAATTTATGACTCAAACGTGCTACAAAGCAATATAGCAGATTATCATAAGTGTAATAGACTAGAATTATAGGTTTTGAAACCAGATTCGGTTTTTATCAATTTATATTTATATAAATATTAAATTCGTAAATATTCGCATATCGATTTTTTTTCAGACTTCTAAAAATTTTAATTTTAGTAATATTTTGTCATAATTAAATTCGCTCTTTTACAGCCTCTGCATTTAATATCAATTTCTGATTGCCATTCTGCGCAGTCAACTCCTTTTTCATACAAGAAGAACAACGAAAAAGTTGTATCAGAGTATAACAATTCTCTGATATATAGTTGCCTATAAATGTAATCCAAACGCCTTACGATTAGAACAATAAGCACGTTTGTAAAGCGTGAAATAAGAATGTTAGTGGTGTATAGGAATGAGGTACATAAAGTGCGACATATTAATTTCTCTTACCAAAGAAAATGGTATAACTGAATGCCTTTCTTGAGAATTATACAATTGTAACTTCATACATTTTATCTACATAATTTCAATATTTGAGAAATCCATCTGAGAAATTAATCTGCATCACGCTTTAAATACCTCAACCTATATACAGCATAGATTTTTTTCAGCTAAGAGCTTGTTTTTGCTACAACTTGTTCTAGCGATTAGGCGATGTAATTATATGCACAGTATGTGTCCTGCATGGAAGAATCGCAAAGAACTGTATTTCGTCCATTAAAAGTTAAGAATCTTTGTCGCTCGGTGCTTTTGTGAGACACCGCATTTTTCTAACGATGCATTCTCAATTGTATTTTTTATGCAATTTTGTTGTTTGTTATATTGAAGCAATAAAAATACCGCAAGAAATTGTATGTACCATTAAAAATCGTTCAAATTCACTTACGCCATTTTTAAGGTTTTTTTGATAAATTATACCTTTTCATACTAATAATTAAGTACAACTTTAAAAAAAATCGTAATTTCATTATATCAAAAAATGTTTTACACAGTTACTTTTAGATTTATTCAAAATTTTGAATTACGTTCATTGAAAGCTAAAATAAATTTATTAAAAGTTAAATATTAATAATTTTGAAATTAAAATTATTGTAGATATTATATACATAAATATAAAAATATAAATTTAAATATTTTAACTTAAAAAAATTTGAAAAGAAATCTGTTATTTTTTTCTTTTAGCAAAGAAAAATATTATAGCTCCGAAAAATTCGTTACGAAGAAACTCGTGTAATTATAATAAATCTATTTAGATTATTGTTTCATTATAATTCCGCGCGCTTACTATGTCGATATAGCAGATCTTCTAACGTAACCTTAAAAAAAAATCCTACCCAATGGCTCGCTTCACTATCGAAAAGACAATATTTATCATCATTTTTCTCGAAGGCAAAGAAATCCTATACGAGTATCAAAAAACACGTTTGTTATACCTATATACATCTCTTTGCCCTTCGGCGTTTTCTCAAAATATTTATTATTTCTTTGTCTTTCCTTCTCTATCCTGAACATCCGGATTTATCTTTTTCATGTTAAGTACAGAAAGTGCAACAAAGTGCACTCAATAGCTACTATTTACCACATCGATGTCTAAATGCAGTACGCGGTCACGAATAGCATTGTTGCAAGCGAAAATAGAGTATTCACCTCCTCTCCCTATTTACCCTCGCAGCCAGCGAACCCCGAGAGACATTTAAATCGCCGGGAAAGAAAAAATAGAGGAAATCTTTGACGCTGGCGGATCGCATCGGCGACGCGACGGCGAGGCCGTATTTTTTTCCAGCGAGACGTTAACCACGTCGCGGGCGCGCGTACGTACCTTGATCGAGCTCCCAAAATGATACCTCCGCAAGTCGACGTTACCTCGAGCTCACGAGTCGCGGGAAAGTCGCGCGTACAGGACGACGAGTGCGATTTCCGTTATTGCACGCGCGAACTGCGTAACCGGTACGGCGTACGCGGGCAAACTTTATGACGACACTCGGCGTACGATCGTCGATCACGAATTGCAGAGATGGCCGATCTGATGGTGGATTCTAGAGACAGTGCTACCACCTACCGTCGCGACGGAGCGGCATAAAGGATCATTAATTGCGAATGCGTTTTAATCAGGGTTGTGCCGTAGATTTCAAGATTACGTCTACACCGCGGATTATTTACGTGAAATCTACGTGATGTTTACATAGTCTTTTTATTGCGTAGACAATTTAGACTTGTAAACCATGTATTTGTAGAGCACACG